ACAAGGGTACTTTGCATTCTATCGCTCTTGCTCTTTGACATCTTGAATTTGGTACCTGGAGTGAAGGCAATAGGTATCGTTGGTGAATTTGTTCCATTCAGTATAGGGGCTCTCATTGTGCTAGGCATGTATTTCTGAGATGAGCTGTGACTTGTTGAAATTCTGACCCTGTGTTAAAACCGTGCACAAAGGGTAGGACTGATTCCGAGGGGCTTGGCTTCAGCTCATGTGCTGTGCCCCTTACCCAAGTATGTGCCCTGAATTTCAGAATGAAGTCTGGTGTAGCACTTGAGCTCACGCTAGGCTCATATTCACTGATTTCCCGATACATGTTCAATGCCCGTCACTATCCAATGTAACCCGCACAACCCAACACAAACCTGACACTTTGACTAGCAGACCTGACATTTCGGCCGCATCAGACCTGATATTTTCCCACGCACTTGTCCTATCCATGTCCCATCCTGTCTTGCTAGCCCCACTAGGTGCATAGTTGATTATTTCACACATTACTCATGTCGTAGCAAGTGCTATTACATGTTTTCCCATCATCCACAGTGCCTCATGTTAGTTTACATGTACTTCGGACCCGAAATTGTCAGCCACTACTTTCGCCTATAGGGTTCCGGATTTCTATGGACTTACATATATATTGGACTGACTACGAGTATTTTCATTATCCAAGTAGTAGGGAGCCGTTTCCTGATACTTAGTGGTCAAACCCGATATTTCATAGTTCTTAGTTGACATTGCGAATATTACTGCTCTTTCTATCCGAAACACCCATCATTATTGTTAATCCGCATACCACTCGCTTTCCCGATGTTTGCTATCGCCATTCCCGCTAACCCGCTAAACCCAAACCCAAAACCCGCTAACCCAAAACCTGAAAACATCGGACCTGACACTTTGGCATCAGACATCATAGATATACCCTTGGACTTTGTTTCTCGCACTTGGACTTTTGACCATTTATTGTTTCACTAACTACAGACCATTCCAAATAGCTAACCCCTCGGGTCAAATGCACTTGTCTTGCAAGTATAGCAGACTAGGCTGTGCACGATCACAACACTTTTTTATATTGCTAAACACTTACTTCGTGTAGTGTCCAGCAATTGTTGTATCTCTACATCGCCCAGGATTCAACCCTCATGTTCTCCTCATGGAGATCCCCACCTACATCCAAGAGCCGGTCACTGTGATCTGACCGATACAGTAGGGGCAAGTTGTGATGCTATGGAGAGTTGCTAAGCAAAATGTATGTGTATGTCCTTTTCATTATGTATCACCATTAACCATCGTGTTTAGACCCTGCAACGCTAAGAATCAGGTGATTCCATGCCATCGTACACATCGGTATTTTCCTGGGGAGACCCAGGACAAAGGTATATATACTACATAGGCAAGTCTCTTGTTATATCTCCAGCACTACTGCTACTAACATGAACCATCGTGGCCGTTGTCGACAAAACACTAAAATTCCCCAGGTTGAAGCTGCTCCTGAGCCTGTCGCCCCTGCTCCTTCTGCTCTCCCTCCTGCTGCTCCCACTCCCATTCCTGTCATTCCTGCTGCTGCTGCAACTACCACTGCAGCTGCTGCAATTGCTACTGCTCTTCACCGCCCTAGGAGACAATGGCAGCTTCCTCAGAGATTTAGGCAGGACAACACAGCTACTCATCTGGACAATGGCAAGTGGATCGACCTCAATAATGTCAGCAGCGGTGAAGATGAAGATGACCCACCTGAAGTCATAGTCAACGCCCACACACACCCGAGCCCACTACAGACAATGACTAGTACTCTCCTCACTGATCCCTTTGCCACGAAAAAGAGGCCTTAAGTCTACTTCTGATGTCCAGTTTTTCTTTAGGAAGAACTCGGACACTGGCGAGTGCATTTGCATTCCATGCGAATAAGTAACACATCTGGGGGTCTTCTATGTTCTTTCTCACCACCTTTACCAGGGATTTAAATAAGATTGACTCATCCTGTCCACTAACTATTTACGGTTCATCTACGAGCAATACCCCTCTTCGTTCCCACATATATAAAGTCCATATCGAACTCTACCTCCAGGAATCCGAGAAGCAGCAATGGCCAATTGGCATACATCCTGTTGGGGATCGCCTCAATGAAGGCTGGACCTTCACCCAGATGCTGGAATGACTCAAAGATCTTACATGCACAATCGAGATGCTTGGCCCTCCCCCAAATCTCAGACTTAGCGGTTCACAGCCCAGTGTTGGCAAGTCAGCATCTTCAGATCATGACTTACCAAAATTCTCCATCGAGGAGATGCATAAACATATTGTGAAGTTTATCGTAGCTGACAACTAAGTGAGTACTATCTATTTTCTATGTAATCTCATTAACTGCCATCTCTAGGCAATAAGTGTTGTTGAGTGTCCAGAGTTTCGTCGGCTGCTCTGCCTCTTACGTCAAGATATCAAGGATTTCGATATCCCTCATCGTACAAAATTTCGGCAATTAATTATCAATGCATGGGATGAATACTTTGCAGCTATCAAATGTGACCTTGCTGTAAGTGTACAGCTATCGATTACATATAGTATGTTCATATCTTGCAGGCTGCTCAAGGATGAATTTCATTTACATCTGACATATGGTCTGATTCTAAGCTCTGTCCCTTTCTTGCTGTGACCGCACATTGGATTGCCAAAGAAAGTGAGAAAGAAACACTTGTTTTGAAGGCTGCTCTCATCGCCTTTCATCATATCCCTGGTAGTCACACAGGGATGGCACTCGCTTCGAAGATATTAGAGCTGATTGATTGCGCTGAAGTGAAACATAATGTTGGTGTTTTATTGTACTTCATTGCATACTCTGACTTTGTCCAGATCGGACACTCTACCTTGGACAATGCCAGCAACAACAGGACCACGATGGATGAACTCTCACAACTATTGCAGAAAGATGGGATTGAATTCGACGTGGTCGATTACCGCATCCCATGTTTTCCGCATATAGTAAATATATGCGTCCAACACATCCTCAATAAGCACTCTACTGCAGACTTTTCAGATTTGGCTGACACTTTCGTAGCTGGCCCTTACACCTTCAATAAGGTGGAGTATGTCAAGGCTCTGCAAAATAATGTCATCAATCGGGCTAGAGATATTGTCCGTGTGATCCGCGTATCAGGCCAGCATCGTGATAGCTTTCGAGCCGCCATTACTTCTGGCAATGCAGAGAGATGGTTTGTAGACGACAAGGGCGAGCATATGGCCCTGCCAATAGTTGAATTGCTGTGTGACGAGCCTACTCGTTGGGATTCAACATATATCATGTTCAATCATTTGAGGATCCTACGACAGGTAACATTTCATCTTATTAGAATTTCATGCAGCCTAATGGTTGTCCAGGCTATCGACCATTGGATCGACCTTCCTGCTCAATGCAACATAGTCTGTTATAAATTGACCCCCATGGATTGGCAAGTCCTGCAGGATCTTGAGGTTATCCTGGAGGTATGTTTTAAGATGTCTGAAGTTTATAACTCATTTACTGTTCTACATTAGGCACTGCACCATGCTCAACAATGCATGTCCAGTGAAACCAGTCCTCTGCTAGGCAGTGCCATTCCAGCCTTCGAAGGGTTGATTGAAAGATGGAAGCTCATGGCTGACCTTGTCCCACACTGTGCACCTTTGGCTGCCATAGGTTTATCATGGGCAGCTAAGTATGATGACCGAATGAGCCTCACAGGAGCATATGCTGTTGCAATGTGTCAGTTGTGTATGTTTCTATAAGGTGAATTCTCATGATTGTATATAGTCATCGACCCCACAAGACGTCTATCATGGATGAACGAACATTGGCCAGTCGCACAAATCACAGAGGCAAAATCCTATATTCTCAAACTGGTATGTCTGCCTGGTAATAACAGTCAAACTTTTGACTGATATATCCCACAGATGTGGAACAAGAGATCAACAAATGTTTCCACACAGTCTGATCAGTTGATCCATCAGCCATGCCCTGCAACGCTAGGATCAACCATCTATGGACTTCCTGAGATAGATATACTGCCATGTCACCAGGATGGCCCCCAATCAGTCAATGACAAGTTCAATGCATACAGCACAGGTATTCTTAGCCCTACAGGAACAGATCTGCTTTTTTTTGGATGGTAAGAGTCCTATTCCTCTATTGCAGGTTTTGTTGATAACCGGGCATTGATGGTGAACTAGGTTTCGGCACCAATGTTTCCGACACTCTACAAAATCACAATGGACTTTCTGCCAATTCAGGCCTCTGCTGTCCCATGCGAGTGTGTATTTTCCTCCAGCAGTGACACATTTACAAAGAAGCGCAATCGTCTCAGCCCATATTTGATGGAAGCCCTACAGGTGATCAAATTTGTGCTGAAAAAAGAGCGACTGCACTTCACCAAGGGTTGGGCAGTGTCCCAAAAGGATATGGAGTATAACTTGATGTGTGCCACGGGCTCCGCGAGCCACAAAGATCTCTTGACATCTGGCTCTAGTGATTTACTGATATCTGCCACCAGTGGAACTACTTCTGGTGGTCGTGATTATGAGGCCCTTCTCAGAATTATTGCAGAGGATGAATGTGATGATGTTCCAGATGATATCACAACTGTATCTATTGTCTCTTAATTCCTGCCTTTTACTGCTACCTTTACTGTTTCTGTTATCTTGCTCATACTGCTACTTTTGTCATTAGACTGATGACTATTGATTTGTTTCTCCTCTTGACACAACTTTTTCACCTAACTAACCATACCAGCTGCAGTTAAGGTGTCAGTAGTGACTGTGCAACTGGCTTTAGCATTTTTTGTTTGGCTGTCGAACTCACCCCTAGGACGAGCTTCTAGGCAAGGAGTACAATGACGAAGGTGAGCATTAAATTTCCTCTCTACTCTACCCTCACCCTATCTAACTACATGAACTCCAGCGAAGGCATCAGCAGTGACTGCGCAACTGGTTTTAGCATTTTTGCTTAATTATCGAACTCACCCCTTCCCCTCCTCCTCGTGCTCATTGTCATCCTTGTTGTCATCCTTGTTGTCCTCCTTGTTGTCATCTTCCTCATTGTCGTCCCCATTGTCATCCTCCTCCTCGTCCTTGTCATCCTTGTCCTTGTCATTGTCCTGGTCCTGGTCCTTGTCATCCTCATCCTTGTTGTCCTTGTCGTCATCCTTGTCATCCTTGTTGTCATCCTTGTTGTCCTTGTTGTCCTCATCCTTGTTGTCCTTGTTGTCCTTGTCCTTGTCCTGGTCCTCATCCTTGTTGTCCTCATCCTTATCATCCTTGTTGTCCCATTTTTTCCCTCTCATTCAAGGTAGCCTGATGCACCAAGTAAATTTTCAGTGACGGCAGCTCAGGTAACGTTTCATTATCGATACAATTTCACAAATGCTAATTCTAATATCTATCCCTAACCCATACCTTTCAACACAACAGCACTTTGTGACCTAACTTACAGTACCTCCTCCTTCAATCTCAATGAATCCCACTCATTCCCGCCTATCGCCGCTTTGATCTCCCCGGCCATTGACCGCTTTCCCCTCCCCCCGGCCGTTGACCACTTTCCCCTCCTCTCTGCCTTTGAACGACACTTTCATTCCCTCTCTGTCTGCCTCTTTCAGCTCTTTGCCTTGATGCACAGTCTCACTCAGTCTTGTCTGACTTCGCCTGCTCTCGTAATTTTCATCCACAAGCAGCGCAGCCGTATAGCTAACATTTGTTTAGCTTTTGATTGAACATTGACGGAGTGACCTACGTTGTCTTGGGGGCCCATTGGTGTTAGATAGTATTGGTTTTAGAGCACAATGCAAGTTTGTATGATTTGTATGAGCCCCAGTAGGAACCATGTAGTTGTGAGATGACAATATGATTATTTGATGTTTGTATCACACTCAATATGAGATAAGGTGACAGTGTGACAGATAATATTAATCGCATTGCATCATCTCGTTTTGCGTTGTATCAGCTTCAACATGCGTATAACTTTACTTTATCTTGCATTACATTATATTCATGGTACGTTCTATCAGCTGGTATTGACCTCAAGCTCTCTGATCAATATCACAGACGCCTGTTGACCTGCACCAAACTGTTTGCTGCATGGACCAGTAATACTTTCCTATGAGTCTTATATCTCAAAAATCACTATGAACATTTTTTTCTCTTGATCTGAAGTCAAACTGAGGCTCAGGGAATATTTTTCGCATTTTTTTTCATTTTATGAGTTTGTACACGAGCAGACTGAATATTTTTGTACATTTAATTCTGCGATGAGTTTTGCTTAGTCAGCCATGAAGATGACTCAGAAAGATTCTCACGCATATCAGGTGACTGTAAAAAATATGTTCGCATAAGGTTACCCTGTGGGAAAGCTTACAAATCGCTAAACACGCACCCTATGTCATTATGCTACCAAATAGTTTATCAGCCACAGATGTCAAACATCTATCCACACATTATGTAATCATTTCTCACTCTTTTCTAGCTGAGTCATCAAGGGATCACCTGACCCATGGGCCATGCACAGCTCTTGCTGACTCATCATTATACCAACTAGAGTTATGAATATTTACTTTTGGCTCAAAGATACTGTGTAACTTGGTACTATCAAACTAAAGTTACAACTTTAAGTGTGAGAAACTAGTAGTATAGCCACCTAATTTGTCTATATAAGGAGCTGCTTTTTGCCCAATAGAAAAAGGAATTCCCCTGCTTTTATACTCTCAGAATAAAATTGTGAGTGAAGTGTGATTCAGCATTCAGCAAGTGTAGCAAAAGGTTGGAGCTCACTGTGCTCAACAACCAGCAGCACACTTCTGAGCTCACTGTGCTGAACATCTAGCACATACCTTGAGCTCACTGTGTCTGATGACTAGCAAGACTAATTTTTCCTTTTCTGTTTTTCTTCTGATTGTCTGTCTGAATTTCTTTGTTTCTTTTGTGTCTTTCTCTGTGATTTTTTTCTCTGTGTCTGTGTGTTTGTTTTTCTCTCTCTGTTTCTCTGAGATTGTGTCTGAGATTCATGACTGAAACTCGTGTTTCTGTTTCTTTGTCTCTTTCTCTCTCTCTGTCTCAAGTGTGTGTGTGTGGTGTGTTGGTGACTAACTGTGTTGATTGTTTCTCTGATCGCTGTCTCTGTGTGTTGTGATTGTTGTTACTAATGGTCTACGTGAATGTGATCGTGTTAGTGTTTCTGTTGTAGCGGTCTTGTTTTGTTGATTGTCTTGACCTATCAACTTTCTCTCAAGTACCAAAGTTTCAGTCTCATTCTTACCCAGAAGTTTGGTGTTGTCTCTTTTGTCCACTGAAGACTTAGGATAGTCTTGTGGGGAGACTTTAGGTGTTGATGGTGATACCTGACCTCATACATCTGTGTGTTATACCGGTCGAGGGTAGTCATTGCGAGTTAGACTTTAGCTATTGAAAGGGGATTTGGTATTGAAGTCCAAGATCGCCCGTTCCTGAGTCTGTTTGAATACTCATTGTGAGTTCCTTGACAGCAGGTTCAATATTAGGCTAAGAGTACTACAGAGGCTTGACTAGGTCTGACAGTAGTTTCACCTGTTTTTGTAACTGAGGGGGACTCTCATCGTAACTCCACACAACTTTCTGCACTAAGTTTGTGTACAAATCATTGTTGCTGTGTGAAGTGTTAGGAAAAGTATCTGTTTTTTGTTGCCATCTCTATATTGTTAGAGTGATTGTGTTTCCTGATATTTTTGTTGCTATTGTTTTTTTTTTTTTTGATTGTTGTTGTTGTTGTTGTTGATCGCTGACTGACTGTGTGTTGTGTTTCTGATCACTGTGTTTCATATCCATACTGTTGGATCGATTGTTGATTACTGACTCTTGTGCAGAACTCATTGTGCTGACTGTACTTTAGGAGCATAAGAAAGCCACCCACAAACGACCATGTTATCAGTCATTGGTATTTGTCTGAATCACTGACCGTGGAGATATTTGGTTTTATAGGTGTTTATCTATAGATCATCTATCTAAGAAGACACCGTGTCAGCTGGCATGTTAGCTAATACCCATCACCGAACACCTGCATTGCGCATTGTAGCGTGTTGCAACGTGTGGTGACAAGGCAGCAATATATGATTAAAACAAATCTCTACTCAGCTGCACCTGTTACGTCGACTGTAGGTCGGCGTAGTGGGAACTAGGATAGGTCTTCTCAGCGACGAGTCGAGTGACTCTACTGAAGCTGAGCGTGGTCTGGCCTTGACGGAACGTCAAGGATTCCTCCGGCGATCTCGGTAAGACGGCGCTCGTCGAGATGCAGGGCTAGTGGATACGTGCAGAGGCGTATGGGAGCGACTCTGAAGTGCGGTCTCACACAAGGAAGCAGTTAAGCTTAGATGAGCAAGTTCTGTGGTAGAACCTAGTAGATTAAAGTGAAGTTCAATCTACAACAATGTGCCTACTTATACATAAGGTATGTAGGTGTTCAAGCTCAGTCTGTAATCTATAGTATATCGTACATCTAAGATAACCAGACATGAGGTTAGATAAAGTACATGAGGCTTAACCTCTGATCATACATGCGGCGCCAAGGGCTGCTGCGCATAGGTACAGGAGACGCCAAGCGCTCCGGGTCTTCATACATGAGGCGCCTAGGGCGCTCCGGATCTTCATGAAGCGACATGCTGTATACATGCGCTGATCTAGGGTGTCCATGAGGCGTACAGCCTCCATGGATCAGGTACAAGGCCGTCTAGGCCAGGGGCGGGGTCATAGCATCAGGCGGGGTCATAGCGCCATGAGGCGGGGTCATAGCGGTCCAAACCGCTGTCTTTCTAGGCGCAGGCGGCGCACCGCCGCGCGGGGAGTCTAGCAGAGCGGGGGCAGGCGTAGGGAGAGCTGGGGCTCTAGTAGGTGTTACAGATCCCTGTAACATTACCCCGTTACTAAGGTTGAAGTCACCGGCTTCAATTAACACTACGTCCAAAGGCTGGGAGGACGGTGCGGGTGTCGAGGGAGTTGCTGGCACAGGCGTCATGGGTATCGGCGTCGCGGGCATAGGGGAAGGTGGAATGGGGAAGGCGAGCGCGAGGTCGGCGAGTGCTTTATGGTTCTGCTCCCAGTCTAGGAGAGCTTCGAAGAACTTCTCCTCATCTGAAAACTCTTGGAGCACGATGCGTCCTTTGAGTCCAGGGCAGTGGATCGATAAATGATCCGGTCCAATCTCGCTGCATATGCAGCAGACGTAATCAGGACACTGTCTAAAAGTGTGCCCATATCCGCCGCAACGCTTGCAGAGCGTGCGGGTTCTATCCATCGTGGCCGTTCTCTTTTTACTGGGCAGGGGGCGCACGGGTCTAGTTTCTTCTTTGGCGCGAGGCTTTGCTGAGGCCGTCCTCACCGCGAGGTTCACGAGGTCGGGGAAGTCGAGCGGTAGGAGGTGAAGCGCCATTGCGCGGATTCTTTTCTGAAGGTGGAGCATGGCGAGCGTCCGAGTTCCTTCGTCTATATCTGTACGAAGTGCGGCGTCTTCTAGCATCTTCGTGGTCTTTATGATGTGCACAGCGAGGGAAGTGCTGGCAGCAACAGTCGCGCTCATGTCACCGAGGATGTTGTCGATCTCTCGGGAGTACGCGGGGGTGAGGATGGCGGTTTCGCTGAACGCGCAATTCTCAATCGTGCCGAGGATTCTTCCATAGTCGGAGTCCTTCAGCGTTACGATGGTAGGGGTTTCGGTAGGAGTCGTCATGATGATGGGAGTTTCTGAGGAATATACGGCCGTAGGGAGAGTGTCTTATATGTTTCTCCAGGTCGTTCCAAGCTCCGCTTGAGTCAGACTTATCTTTCGTTCGAACCCTATCAAGGTTCAATCAGCGAGGGCGTGTCGCTCCGGTTCTAA